CGAACAGCAGAAAGTGCATGGAGACAAAATTTTATACAAAAGGAACAGGAAGAAAAAACGTTAGCAGCAGGGCAATGTGGAGCCAAGGGCTGGGATAACAGCTTTCATTTTCTTCTCAGGGAGGATATGTTAGAGGTAAGATAGTTGATTTGGTAGGTAGGGAAACTCAGTGAATGGAAGGAGATGATTGCTGAAACCGTTCTTCTAAGAATGGTAGCTATTGGGCACAATGCACAATTGGAGGAGTGGATTGGAAAGATGTAGGACATCCATAAAATTTGATTCAGACATCAGAGCATCAAAAGCTACCCAACTCAACAGATACCTAAACCTGAACTATAACCTTCTCTTAGTTTCCTAGGCCCACCATGACAAATTGCCACAAACTTGGTGCCTTACAACCTCTGAAATCAATTTTCTCATATTTTGAGGCTAGAAATCTGAAAGAAACATATTTCCAAGGTCATGTTCCCTCTAAAAGATTTAGGGAAGAATCACTGCCAAGATACTTTCTTGATTCTTCCTATTCTAATTGCCCTAAGCAATCCTTAGAATACTTTAGTTAGTGGCTGCATCACTTTAACTGCTCTCTCCATTTCACATGCCCTTCTTCTCTGTATGTTAATTTCTATTATTCTGCCTGTTAAAAAAAATTCTTATATTGGATTTGGGTCCCGCTCTAATCCAGCATGATTTCATGTTGATATTAACTATATCTGCAAAGACACTATTTCCAAATAAGGTCACATTCTGATGTTCTGGGTAGACATGAATTTGGGAGGTGTTATTGAAATCACTAAAATCACCTATACTAAATTACTATGTTTGCTTTCATTGGACAGATAATGTTTTTCCATGTCAAATTTGATAAAAAGAATCCTCTACCCATTGTAAGTATTACTCCCTGATTATCAAAATTGAGGTATCATGCTTTCTGTCAGATCATTTATACAAAAATCATATTCATTCCTTAGAGCCACTATCTTGTCAGTTGGGTTAATTACAGAAATTGCATGTGAAAGGTCATTTCTTTAATTGCTATGAATTTAGGAGTAAACAGTAATTTACAAGAATTGAAATAGAGCAGTATTTTCTGAAATAGATCAGACTGATGCAATAGATTAAGCAAACCAGAGCTTGCTTATTCTTAGTTTAGAATTTAGTAAAATATTTTTAGTAGTGAAGCACACTGAGATATAATCTTAATTTGACATATTTTTTCCTAGCCATCACTGTCAAGAATAAGTCATTTGCATCCCTTGTAAAGGATGTTTTAAATAGTACACAAACTGTATTATATAATGTTTGGTGTATAATAAGGTTTAAAAATTGATGTGTAATATGAATATATATTTAAATTCACTCATACAAAGATTTGAAAAATCAAATGTTCACTGATTTATATAAGCCCTTCATATCAAAATCTTGAGTGCTCTTTTATAAACACTCAAAAAACAATTAACATTAAATCTGCACTATTCTATTGAAATGAAGATTCATAGCTATTATCTATTAAAAATATTATCCCAGATTTAAAAATGATTTAGTTAAGAATGATTCTACTCTTATTTAAAAATGAAAATACATCATATACAATATATAATAATAAATATAAATATATTTATTTCTTTTTTTTAAAAAGAGAGAGTGAGAGAGAGAGAGAGAGATAGAGAGAGAGAGAGAGAGAATTTTTAATATTTATTTTTTAGTTCTTGGTGGACACAATATCTTTGTTCATATGTGGTGCTGAGGATCGAACCCGGGCCGCACGCATGCCAGGCGAGCGCGCTACTGCTTGAGCCACATCCCCAGCCCAATATATTTATTTCTTGAAAACTTCAATTTTTCCAGTATATTTCAGACTATTCAATGGCCATTTGTAGTAAGACCTAGAGAATATTGTCCATATTTTATACATTTATCTATTTAGCACTCAAAATACTACAGAAATATCATAAGTACTAAGCAAAACAAACAACAAACTCTTATTGCTAAAAGTATAAGGAAAGGAGTAATTGATTAACAATGTGCACCTAATGCCATATTATATACTATATATGTTTTAGTCTTCTTAGCACTGTAACCAAAAGACCTGATAGAAACAATTTTAGAGAAGGAAAAGTTTATTTGGGGCTCATAGTTTTGAGAGCTCTCAGTCAATAGATGGCCAACTGCATTGTCATCATCCAAGTGAGGCAGAACATAATGACAGCAGAGTGTGGAAGCGGAAAGTGGCTCAGGACATGGTAAACAAGAAGCTGAGAGAGTGTTCCATTCGCCACGGACAAAACATAAATCCACAAAGGCAAACCCTTAATGACCTACCTCTTCTAGTCATACCCTATCATCCAGTTAATCTGTATCAGGCTATTAATGCACTGATTAGGTTAATACTCTCAGAACCTGATCATTTCACCTTTAAACTTTCTTGCATTGTCTTAATTATGAGCTTTAGGGGGACATCTCATATCTAAACATAACATACTGTGTGTGTGTGTGTGTGTGTGTGTGTGTATTTTTTTTTTTTTTTGCAATGCTTAGAATCAAACCCAGGGATTCACAAATGGCATGCAAGCACTCTAACACTGAGAAATCTTCCCCAAACCCTTTCATTTTTATTTCCAGACAGAGTCTCAGTAAATTGACCACTCAAACTTAGTATCCTCTTGTAATAGATTCCCAAGTAGCTGGGATTACAAGTGTGACACCCTTTACATTTAGTCTAATGTATTTTAACTTAGTTTACAAATTTCCTAACAACTTCTATAATTTCAAGATAATAATAATATATATGGCTTAGTTTGGCATGATACTACTTGTTGAGCTAATTTAAATTTATGAATTTAAGATACCCTTCTAAACTATTATCATATCTGGAATAATTAATTATGGGGAAAAACTGTTTAAAGATGTTAAAATATATTTCCTTTAAGAAATATTTAAGTATAACTAAAAATCTAGCACTAAATAGAGACTCAAGATCACCAGTGTATAGAAGCATAGACGTCCCGCTTTATAATATTTTTAATTAGGTGACATAGATGTTTCTATAAGCAGTTCTAAAAATAAACATATATATTGAAAAACTAAAAGGAAGCATACTGCACTTAGTAAAACCAGGCAACAAGCCTACAAGAGATATAATGTGCTTTTCCTCACCATTTGCTTTGCTCTTATTATGTAGTCAATTTAGTCAGAGATACATAGGGTGTTCATTTGCAGCAGGACACTTCGTATTTTCAACTAACAGAATGATTTAGCTACGGAACAGAAGTAGCAAAATAAAGCACTATTATTGACATTTTGAAGAGACACAGAGGAGAAAGAGAGATGCAAATCCTATGGGCTAAAGGACACGTACAAGAACTCTGGGAAACATGACACTTTAAAGGACAACTTTTCTTAGATTTCAATCTCTATCTCTCTTAAGCCAGGGAATTCTATCTCTACCAGCCAATGAATTATCTTGACGGAGACCACTTCTGGCATTTTCTCAGGTACCTGCAGAGCTCATTCTGGCTGTACTATATCCCACAGTGTGGGCAGATGGCTCCAAAAAATTGACTAATGCAGACAGCAGTAGTCTCTTTTGACATGTTGTGAATGGGTGATACTTCAGACCAAAAATAATGTTTTTTTTTCTTTTCCCAGTCTCAAGTGTGAGAAGTTCTTATCAAATGTTCTTTATAGAGGGTAATATCTTATTCTTCTCAGAAATCCTGCTTTATTTTCAGAGTTAGTGATTATATGCTGAAAAGAAAAAGAAAAAAAAAAGAACTTTTGAACACTATGTCCTCAGGACATAAAGAGACTATGAAGTCAAATAACTGGGAAGGAATTATATGTTATAAAGATGCATTTGTATTCATATGATGCTGTGGATAATGTAATGACAACTTTTGGTACTTAAAAAGTAAGCTACAAAATATTGCTCCTTGAAGAAAATGGGTTCTGAAAAATCTAAGATGTTGCTGTATGATTCTCCACCTTGAAAGTGTATATCAACAACAATATAATTGACACAAATTAAGTTTGACAGGTAGCTCCAAGAATGCTTAAAAATGCATTTTCTGCTTTCATAGAGTGTACAGTGCTATGCACACAATCACAGTAGTATAATCTCTAAACTGCATCCCATTTATTTCTTTAATCTACAGACTTAACTGTGGGACAAAGAGATTAAGGAATGTCACATCTATGCAGACATGTTCTGGGATAGGTAGAGTCACATCATTAGGTGTATTTATAAGAAAAGGTGGCAACTGAAAATGAGGTTAAGAATTGTTTTATTTCAAAGTAACCTTGCATAAAAGTCCTTAAGAAGTCAGACAAAACAAAAAGCAAAAATCTGTTCTTTAAAAACTCTTTACTCATTGACTTTGTGGGGCCAAATTATACATTTTTGGGGAAGATAGAAAATAGTTTCTCTTTTATTTTCACATTTTGAGAAACTCTCTAACATTTTATAAAATAATTTAAAGATTTCCAATTGCAGTGCCTGACCCATGTTGGGATAAATTATATATTTAAAAGAAGGGGTTTTGTTCAGAGCCTCAGTATTAAATATTATTCAAACAAACCATTAACAGTTACAAAGTAATTATCTTATGTAATGCCCTGGAAACATCTGTCTATTGCAAAGCATAATAGAGGTGACTTTTTAAACATTATTTTTAAGATAAAGAAAGATATAATCAATAAGTATAGTTTTGAATTACTGCATGGGAGTAATTCAAACTTTCACATATTTTAAGAGTAATATAGTATTTTTGATTTTGAAAGCAAATTATTTGAATGAACAAATTTAAAAAACTAATTTTTCTGATGAGTGAAATAGGAATAAAAGAGCCTCACTGAAGTAAGAATTAAATACTTCTCATTGAATTAACTTTGAAATAAAGAACCATAAGCAATCATGACCCACTAAAAAGAGGGAAAGAGGAAGAAGAGTACAGAAACACAGAGGTTTAGACAAAGACAGGAATAGAGCAATTGCTGATGCAACATCTTTTTAGATACTATAGAGATCCACTTACATACATTTAGCATTCTACCCAGCCATCACCATTCAGGTCCCTTACTTCTTGAGAAGACACAATACAAGGGAGTCTAAATAGAGGAGGAACAATCACTCATGCATGTAGTCACAGACACTTCTTGGAAGACATGATTGTGATTCTAACAAACATTACAATGCTTCTATTATCTCACAAGATTTTCTGCTTGAATCTTATAATTCTGATAATTCATTTATTTGTATTTCCCATTTCTTAAATTTAAGACCAATATCTGATAATTGTTAATTACTAATATTATTGTTCTATTGTGTGTGCATGTAAAAACTAGAGGCACAACATTCTGTGGTGTTTTATTGCCTCTGTGGCATCCAGTTCTTATATATTTCTTAAGACACAAACTTAAGAAATAACCATTAATCAAGATATCAGTTTCAAAAAATCTTACACAACTTTTTTCAATTTCATGAAAAAAAATAGAAATCCTAAAATTCTTACTATAACAAGATATAACTCACAAGTATTAAGAGAAAAAGCAGAAAAATTGAAATTCATTTAAATCAAGATATTTATCTAATAATAAAATGAAAGGACCACTAATATAATACATTATTGGGAAACCATGGGTCTGATATGGTAATTACATATAAAACATGAAAAAACTTTCAAAATTCCACTAAAATTAATTCTATTATAGAATAGGCAGACCAATAGAGTAGATATTCCTATATATTTTATGTATTTTGAAAAATTTAACCATGTTTTCTTTAAGTATTTTATTAAATTGAAAATATTTGTGTCAGGTCTTTTCTGGTTGATGTTTGAATCATGTTTTCTAAGTTTTCGCCTTAGAGAATGCATAACAACTGGATGTCATCAGAGCTACCAAGCAGCTAAAAATGTTGTTCTTTCTGGGTTCAGATGCGAAATTTTCTACTCTGATAATTTCCTCAAATAGTTTATAATGTAACTCTTACATTTGGGTCTCTGATCCATTATGAACTGATTTTTATATATGGTGACAGATGCCTGTATATATTTATTTCTCCAAGCCAAATTTGTTAAAAGAAAAAAAATTACTATTTTTCCATTTAAAAGTATTGATAACCTAATTGAAAACCCTTTAGCCATATATGTATGAATTTATTTCTAGAATCTCCATTTTATTCTATTTGTCAATAGGTTTATCCTTTTGCCAATATCACACTGTATTGATTAGTATAGCTGTGCAGTGGGTTTTGAAATGAGGATATGTGAATCCTACATGTTCATTAGAATTTTACAAGATTTTTCTTTTTTTCAGGGGGGTTACTCTAGGTCCCTTGAATTTCCTTATGGATTTTATAAGCATTTTATCAATATCTGGGGTAAAATGTGATGGATAACTTAAAAGAGATCATGTTGAATCTGCAGTTTAATTGTCAAGTATTACCCTCTTACTAAAATGAAACCTTTTGATCCATGAACAAAGCATACCTTTCTTTTTGTTTAGATCTTCTTTAAGATTTGGACAATTTTTTGTTGTTTTTAATTATGTCTTTCTTTCTTTTTTATATTTATTCCTATGTAGTATAATTATTTTTTACTATTGTAAATGGAATGGTTTACTTGAGATTTTCTAGATTGTTTAAAACTTGTGTATAGAGATATAATTTATGTTTGTGTTGATTTTGCAACCTGAAACTATAATGAATATTTCTTAGTTATGCCAGTTTTTCAATGGATTTCTTAAGACTGTCAAATAGCATATAATGCCATCTATGAATAGACAGGATTTTACTTTTTCTTTTGCAGACTGAAGAATTTTTTTCTTGACTAATTATCTTAAATAGAATCTACAGAATAACATTGAATAGAAGTAGTAAAAAAAGGTATACCTATCTCATTTCTAAATTTACAGTGACAAAAATTATCTTTCACCATTGAATATAAGGTGGATTTTGAACTTTTTATGCATGGCATTCATCAATTTGAGAGTGTTCTCTTTTATTCCTACTTTGAGATTCTTATGATGACCTACTGGCAAATTCTGTCAAATATTTATTCAGATCTATTGAGATAATTATATATTTTTTGTCCTCTATTACATGAGACAGTTTGTTGTGCCAATTAATTTTTGGATGTTAAACCAACCTTTCATTCCTACAAAAATTCCATGTAGTTGTAGTATGTAATCTTTTTATATGTTTATATGTCTATGAAATCTATATTTATACTCAAAGGGATATCTTCTGTGGTTGTCATTTTCTGCATGTGATTTCAATAGTAGTGTTTAAAGAAATATAAAACTGACCTCAATGAGTGAATGAAGACTTTTTCTTCTCTTTTATTTTCTGTAAAAGTTTATTAAGAATTATTGTTACTTCTCCTTTAAAATTTAGTGGAATTTACCAATGAACCTATATAGACTTGTGCTTTTCTTTGTGAAAGTTTTAACATTTTGTTTTTTAATTGTTGGTTCCACTTTTTTAAAAAATATATTTTTTAGTTGTAGATGGACACAATACTTTTATTTTTTATTTATTCATATGTGGTGCTATGGATGGAACCCAGTGCCTCACATGCACTAGGCATGCGCTCTACACTGAGCCACAACCCCAGTCCCTCAACTTTTATTTTTTTTAAGTTGTTAATGATTCATTAAATTTTCTATTCCTTCATGGTTCAGTTATAGTAGTTGGTGATTTCCAGGAAGTTCTCCAATTTAGCAAAGTTACTAAATTATAACTCATTTATATACAATTGTACAAAATAATTTCTTATAATCTTTTATATATAAAAGATTTTATTTACAAAATAGTTCTTTTATTTATAAAAATAAATATCTTCATATATTTTATTTATAATTATAATATCTTTTATTTTAAAATATTTTATATTTTAATAATTAGATCTTACATCCTTTTATTAATGAGCATAGCTAAATTCTTATCAATTATAATTGGAACTTTCTTTTTTTAGTATTTATTATTTCCTTTCTTTTGTTTAACTTGGATCCATTTTTTTGTCTCTTTTTTGTTTCTCATTTTTTAAAGTGTAAAGTAAGTTTACTGGTTAAGATATCCATTTATCCCAGGTGTTTACAACTATAAATGATTTCCTCTAAGAAATGCTTTAGCTGTCTCACATAAGTTTGTATATGTCATTTTTATTCCCTTGATTTTTCTTTGTCCTATTTATTATTTGAGACTGTGTTTTTAATTTCCACATATTTTTTTAATTTCTTGAATATTTTTCATTTTTTATTTCCAACTTAATTATACTTTTTTCTAGGAGACATGCTTTTTAAACTTTAAATGTTTGTGCACATATTTAAGCTCATTTTATGTCCAAAATATATATTCTATCCTAGGGAACACTCTTGAGGTAAATGTGTGTTTTGTTGTTGGTTGAAATAGTACATATTTTTCAAGTTAGTTGGCCATGTCAGTAATATCTTCTGTTTCCTTATTGATCTTCTATTTGGTTATTCTCTCCATTATTGGACTAGATGTGTCGGATTTTTCAACTATTATTGCTTCATTGTTTATTTCTGTTTTCAATCCTGTCAGGTTTTGCTTCATGAACTTATTTGAGGTTCTATTGATTGGTGAATAAATGTTTATAACTTTTACTATTATAAAACATTTCTCCTTATTGTTAGCAAAAATCATTGCATGATAGTCTATTTGTCTGATGGTAAGAGAAGTGACTAATGTTCTTTTCTCATGAGCATCTTTGTGGTTACTCTTTTCTCTATCATGTTACTTTCAACCTATTGGTGTAACTGAATACAAAATATATCCTTTGTAGCTATCATACAGTTGGAAAATTTATTTTCATTATTATACTAATCTCTACTTTTTAGATTAAGTTTTTGTCTTTTTATATTAAATGTAATTGTTATAGTTGAAGTCTACCATTTGGCTACTTATTTTTTTAATGTATCTTCTTGTTATTCTTATTTCCTTTTCCCTCTGATACTGCTCTCTTTCCTATTAAATAAATTTACAGGGTATCATTTAGGACCTTTGTTGTTTCTTTTAATATATTTCCTGGATTTTTTTTTCCTTCTTGTGCCTCTCATTATCATGTCTTACAACCATTTAGTTGGATTCATAGTAACTTAATTTTAATAGTACCCAAATATTCTGCTCCAACGTAACTGTTTTATCCTATACCTATGTGCTGTAGTTGGCATATAAATGACATCTATAAATTGCATTTATAAATTATATTTTTATTATAAGCCCATGAAAAGAATTTGAAATTATTCCTTTATGAGTTTCTCTTTTAAATAAGTATGAGAATAAGCATTATAAATTAAAATATATTTGTTTTCTTTTATATTTACTTGGATAGTTACCTTTGCCAGAGCTTATTATTTCTTCAAGTAGCTTTTACTTATTGATTTTTGTATTTTTAAATTCGGTGTGGAGAATTAAATGTGTAATTCATTAGATGGCAGAACTACTAATGAGAGATTCTCTGTCTTTTAAAATTATTATTATTTATTTGAAAACGACTTAGCTTGCCTTTCTTTTTTGAAAGTGGTTGTAAATTTTGTTGAAAATTGGATACTTGAAACACTATATTATAATAATTCTGAAAATGACATTTTATCATGTGTCAAAGCTTGCTTGCTCTTTGATTTGATGTGTGCACACATACGTAGGTTATATTTCTTGCACTAATTCTGTAAAGAGAATTCTATCTATCTATCTATCTATTTATTTATTTTTTAATGTTTCGACAGAGCTACTTTTGAATTCCTCAAATCAATAAGGCTCTCACTGTTGTCAAGGGACTCTGTGAATATGTTTGGTCACATACTCTGGTAGTCAATTAACTCTACCGGATCCTTTACTTCCTACTTACATAGGTCAAAAATCAGTCAGAAAAGTGATTACAGCATTCAGAGGTTTTCCTAAGCATGTGCATGTGTTTTCATACATGAAAATGTCCTGGAATTTTATTAGAATTTTGTAGACTCCCTTCTGGAATCTCTGTCCCAAGACATTTTTTTTTTTTTTGAGCTTTGTTGCTTCCTTTAATGTTGCTTCCATCAATGTGATAGTAAACAATTTCCACTGATTTGGGTTGAAAAATGCCTTGTAGATAGGGTTTTCCTCAAGCAGTGAACTCTGAGTCAGGTCAAAGAGAAGGACTGAAGAGGACCTTTTAAAAAAACTGCCAAATTTTTTCTTTGATATTAGGAGGCTGATTCATAGTTGGGTAGGGAGTGGGAGAGTGTTAGAAATAGATCAGAGGGGTTGGTGGGGAAGGGAAAGGGCATGGGGTAGTTTATGATGATGGAATGTGATGATCACTATTATCCAAAGTACAGGTATGAAGACATGAATTGGTGTGAAAATACTATGTATACTACCAGAGATATGGAAAATTGTGCTCTATATGTGTAATAAGAATTGTAATGCATTCCACTGTCATATATAAATTTAAAATAATAAATGAATAAATAAACAAACAAACTTCCATACAGTACAAATAGTTAAAAATTTCACGGAACTTCCAAACATTCTTCCCCTTTTAGCAGCTACTAGACTGCTGGTTTTCGTGTTTCCCAGGCTATTGGTTTACAAAGCCACTACAGAGTATGAGCAGAGGACATGAACTCCATGACCAAAAATGATACAAAGCTCACTTTTTTTAACCTAGATTCAACTGCTTTTCTTGAGTAGATATTCTATAAATTATTAAAGATTTTCTTAGTAGCTGAGTTCTGAAAAATTCCATTCTGACTTTTCTTGCCAGTCCAGCTCTTGTTTTCTAGAGGTACATTTGCAGCTTCTTATTTCATCATTACTGAACCACTTACTTCCAATATTTTACCTTTTATTATATAAATCAAAATTTAGCTATTTTTCAAAATATCATATCCATACAGGTACTATTCTTGAAAATTAGGTTAGAGAAACTGAAACATTACATACAGTGACAAAACTAAGATTACAAGAGAAATCGTTGTAGCATAGGAATAGCATGAGCATTTCAGTTCAAATGTCTTTGGCTCAAATTCTAATACTAACTCAAGACAATGAAATTTTTTTTTTTATCACTGATGCCCATAGATCTTTTCATGTGTAATGGGATTAATGATAGGTTCTAAAAGTTTCTCAAAAGCCTTCAAAAATGTTTTAGTAAATCAAAATTTTGCTTAAGCCTTTTTAAATATAGGTAAATAATGAACACTAAGAAATGAGAGAATGGCTTACCATTAGAATCTTCAAAAAACATTGATATCCTTATCTAGATTCCATGTTTCCTGAAAGTACAAAAGTTTGGCTTATGTCAGAAGGCTTTAGTAGAAATTTTTAAAAAGTATCAAAGGCTTTAGTTTATGTAATAATCTAGTTTTCTTTTCAGTCAAATATTTTTATTTATAAAATATTAACCATGTTAACATCAAGAAGATAATTCAGCTTTTATTAATTAAAATATAAGGGTCCTCAGGATTCTGTAAAGTTTTATAAGCTCAGAAACTGAAAACTGACTTATCCCTGTATTTCCAATCTGAGCTTCTATGAATCTGCTTATAGATTCTTTGATATTGATGTGACTTGTCTAGAAGTTGGACTTCAAAGAGAAAGCAATGTCATTAGGAAAAAAAATAATTTTTCTTCTTTCCTTCTATCTTATGATCAGGTAAACTTTTAAAACTCAGCTCTGAATAGAAAGGGGTAAGAAAAGGTGTGTTTGAACTATTTTTTTCCTCTTTAAAGAAAGATTGAAGGAAGACTTCAAAGAACCTGTCACAAAAGGCATCACACCTTGGGTTGAAGGTGTGATTTCTACAGACCTCAGTTCAGCCCTCAGGGATACGTATAGATCTATCTCCAAATGGATACAGCACTGCCTTAGATCAAGTCATTTCTTAAAAGTAAAAGTAGACTTGCAAAGGCAGGATGTAGAGGGTAGAATTTAAAGCACCTGATGCCACTACATAAACTATCAATATTGATTTAAATTATGTTCTCCCTATGAAACATAACCTCAGTGTCTCCTTTGCATGGCTTTCTTCTCCTTCTATAGAAAACAAAATTGGTTCTAGAAAAGCTAGCAATTTTACTGTAACTTGGAGAGTACCAAGACATGTATGTTGTCCATTTTGGTTCTGCATTACCAACCTTATGAGGAAGAGATGAGGAAAGGAGGGATAAGGAGAAAGAAAACACACAACTACCTAAAGAGATTCATCCAGGTATCTGGCTATTTTTTTTAAGTCTAAGTAATGCATATATCACATATTAAATTAATTTAGGAATGTCTCACTGTTATCACAAGTGTTTCACTCTCTCCAAGATTAACTTTGTATTTTTATTCACTTCTTTCTTTGTAAGTAGAAATTTGATCTCACCACATACCAGTTCCTCTGGCATATAGATACCCCATCCTATTCTGACCATCTGTTGCCCATCACTAGCAATAGCCAATTATTCAAATGCACTCAAATGTTCCAAATATTTTTTCTTCTTTTTAATTAAAAATGTGCAAAAATTATGTGAAGAAAAATATCTTTCTTGCATTTCTGCCTATATCCTCCTTACCAAAAAAATTTTTCATTTCAGCCAAAAACCATCTGCAGCAAGTCAAAGTTGAAACTTTTCACACCAGTTCCTTCACTAATTCTTTCAGTTTTTATGAAGGACAACAAAGGACTCATTCATCTTAATAAATAAATCCTAATGAAAAAGAGATAAAAATATTCACTGCCTGTTTAAATAATGGACACCCTAGAATTACAACTCTCTCTCTCTCTCTCTCTCTCTCTCTCTCTCTCTCTCATATTTCCTCTCTTCATCTTTAAATGTACACCTGTGATATTTCATTTTACTGATAAACACTATCAACAATATTAATAAAATTTTTGCTACAAACAATAGAGTAAGTTTAGGGCATTACCCTTGCGGTATAGTAAATAAGCAAAAGAATCAGAAAGAGATGTAGATGTAGCTCAGTGGTAATAAACATGCTAGAGGACCTGGGTTCAATCACCTGCAGGAAAAAAAAGAAGAGGAAGTTCAAAATTAGAGATTACATAAATAACATTTATGTGAATTAAAATGGGAAATACAGCTAGAAAATAAAGAGCAGATCCCAGCAGGCTGAATTTAATGAATACATTTAGGAAAAGTGATTCTTAAGCTAAATTTTAAAAGAAGGAAAAGGTTAAAGGAGCATTAAACTAATAATAATAGTAACAACAACATATATATTAAGCTTGACAGATTTGGAAACTGCATTGCAGTAGGTAGAATCACCATTTAATTTTGACCAAGGCATGTTTAAATCAAACTAAGGCATGGTTTGCATTACAAACATACCCCAAAACATGATTCAAAATTCTATTCCTTCTCCAAAATTGATTTTCCTTTTTAACCTAGAATGTGTGAATCTCAAAGATGCCTTCCTCCTCGTCTCTTTTTTCAGCTCAATTTCCTAGTGCCATTATTTTTTTCATTTACTATTTTTTTCATATCTTCATACATGTGTCATTATTAAATATCTACACAATGTAGAAATTATACTTTTTCCAGTAAACTTCCTCTTTTGAAGATTTCCAGGACATAGAGACACATCATAATGTAAACATGTAAGAATTCATACATCAAAAACCTGACCAATATTTTCTTTTATTTTAAAAGCTATAAGTGAAATTAACAAATATAAAAACTTAGTATCAGTTCATACTGAATAAAATTTTATTAAAGTAATACACTCAGGGTAATTTCATATCTTTTAGTCATTGTTCCAAACAATATTTATACTTGTCACAGGTATTTTAAATATAAGTGGCTAATCTCATTTTACAACTTGAAATAGTCAACTAAAAATGTTACCTTCTGACCAAAGTTGGTTTTCTTATTTATTTTTTTCTGTGAGTTCATTTGTTGTTCTACTGTAGTAGATACTGGATTGTACACTGGCACTTGATAACTTGTCTTATCCTTAGTTGGTATTGTTCCTTTTGGTATATGCATATTCTGGTCAGGAAAAAAAATTTACTTTGATATGAACTACAATTTTTCAGCATCAGAGCCAAATCATATTGTATTTAAGGTTTGATTTTTAAAAAAATAAGGAAATTCCTTTCCTGCATTAATTCCCATATGTAGTCATCACCAAGATTACTGCTACTTTAAACATTTAAATAGTACATATCTCTGCTTTGGTGACAAAGATGCTCAGAATCTCAGACCGTATCAATGAGGATCTTAGGAACAAAATTTTTGTGGTGGTAGGGGGTGTACTGGACATCAAATCAGGAACTGTGTTTGATGGTTCATTTTAACTGTGAACTTGATGGAATTAAGGGACACCTAGATGGCTGGTAAACCGTTACTTCTGGGTACATCATAAGCATGTCTCTGGAAGAGATTGGCATTTAAATCAATGGACTAAAGAAGATCTGCCTTTATCCAATGGAGGTGGCCATTATCCAAACTGCTAAAAGAATGCATAGAACAATAAAGCAGAATAAAGACTAATTCATTCTCTGTCTTCTGGAGTTTTAAACCCTTCTTATCTTGGTCCTGAATATCAGGCTTTCAGGTTTTCTGGTTCTTTATCTCTGACTGTGTGTTACATCATCTGCTTCCTTGGTTTTGTCACCTCTGAAATAGAATGACTGGGCCATTCAGTCCAATGACTTCTCTCTCCTCCAGCTTGCAGGCAGTCTGCTGTAGGACTTCTTAGCTTCTACAACCCTGTGAGCCAATTCCCCTAGTGAACTTCCTCCCATATTTCTAATTATATCTATATGTATATCCAACTACTAGTTGTCTCTCCAGAAAACCCTAAATAATACACTACTCAAAATGTGTAATTTTGGCATGGTTTAATAGATGGACCTTTGAAAATCAAGGTGAAAAGAAAGCCACAAAGGAAATTGAAGTTCCCAAGAAATAACAACCAACTGGCTGTAACACTCAAAACTTACCCGGGAGTCACTGTTAGAAAGGGCATCAAGCAGGAGTTATGATTAGACACAGGACACAGCTACCCCATATGGTAGGAACCAGGCTCTATTCTTCTTCCCCCAGAACTATTGCCACTACTTTTCACTGGTCAAATTCAACTAGAAACCGGACATTGAGAAAGACCACGAGTGGGATCCAAGCAGGCGAGCCTCCTGGGCATACAGCAGACCAGAGTATTGCAAAGTGGATCAGAAATGGCCAGTGGACAGAATCCACAACACTTGGTTAGACTGTTTCATTATGTTAGATCAACATTTTAAACTTCCTTTCTTATCTCTTGGAGCTTTAACAATGACCTGGTGCCAAATATTCTCCAAATTCATTTTAGGAAGAAAGACCTATATTCCATATGTTACCTTGTACCATTATTGGGGTTATATTGAATAATCTGCACTTTATCATATTCTGCTCATCCCCTGCCGCCCCCCAAAATTCTTCACAATTTTTAAATTTCTCTAACCCCTTTAATCTGGTGCCCTACTTTCTTTTAATTTTCTTTATATCTGACTTTTCACTTCTTCCTACAGATTTGTTGAAATTGTGTTTTCTCAGAGCTGCCATGTCAATCTGGACACAGAAAGACTATAGTTGTTACGGAAAGGAGGAATCTAATGACTGAAATCATAACTTTTTTTTTTTTTTTGGTATCAGGGGTTAAACTCAGGGCCACTCAACCACTGACACTTATCCCCAGCCCTTTTTTGTATTTTATTCAGAGACAGGGTCTCACTGAGCTGCTGAGTGACTCACAGTTGCTGAGGCTGGCTTTGAACTTACAATCCTCCTGCCTCAGCCACCCAAGCCACTGGGATTACAGATGTGCAACAGAGTGCCCAGCCTGAAATCATCTTATAAGAAATATGTGAGCAGCTAGAGAAGAAATGGGAAGGAGGATTCATAGGATCAAAGAAGGTGGATCTGAGTGGTCCCAGTGAATCCTTCAGAATAAGTGAACAAATCAGAGCTTTCAAGGAAGACTGAGAAGCCAAGTACATCAACTGGCATGGGACTATGAAGAACAACTAATGGTGGATTCTACGGGATTTGTGTAGCTACCATCTCATGCTGTCATTCTGCAGGTATCTCTGCAACTATACCCAACTGTGTCTAACCATGACAACATCTGGAGAATAGTGTTTGGTTCCTCCCTATTTTCTGCAGAAGTTTGTTAATTTTCTCAATCAGATAATTCTAATTAGTAAATTAAATGGACACTGGGAATTGCAGGTCTGGGCTGAAGGAGATTGTCTTAGTATCATCAGTTTGCTAAACAAATTATCATACACTGGATAGTTATAAACAGCAAGAATTTAATTTTTATACTCCTGGAGGATTGAAATCCCAAGAACAAGGTGTTGGCAGATTTAGTGTCTTGTGAGGTCTCATTCCCTTCTAGCTACAATCCTGCAAGGAATTAGCTGTCTGGTGCCTCTTTTATAAGGGCACTGATTTCCTAGGGTTCTATCCTAATCATCTGATAACCTCCTATTGATGCCATCCCTTTGGGGGTTAGATTTTAGCATATCAATTTTGTGGTAACATGATTATTTAGACTGTAGCATTAATTAATAAAGATCCAAAATCTGTAACTTACCTTCTTATTTCTATCCCAACACATAATTTCATTGTTTTCCTAACTTTATAGGCTATCTGAAATTATTTATTTATTTATTTATTATATATGGAGAGAAACCTATTCTGCATTATCCACTGATATGTCCCATATCTAGTAAAGTACCCAGCCTATTGTAGTTTTCTCTGTGTACACATATGCTTTGAATTAATTAACAGTGAATGAATGTATGTATGGAGAATGAGTCGATGAATTAATCAACCAAATCTAATGTAAATTAATTTATAGTACATTAGTAGGTTAGAGGTTGTTTAGCTTTCAAATATACCTCGTGTAAAATATTGACTGAGAATTAATAACATTTGACAAGTTGCAACATTACAAAAAGTTATTTATTATTTGCAAATTTTTTTTAGTTGTCATTGGATCTTTTATTTTGTTTACTTATATGTGGTGCTGAGAATCGAACCCAGTGCCTCACACATGCTAAGCAAGTGCTCTGCCACTGGGCCACAACCCCAGTCCCCCAATAAGTTATTTTTTTCTTTGGCCTCTCATGTTGCAATGTATGAACTAATGGTTAATTTACTCCATTTTTTTCCAGTCACATTTTTTATTATCCATTTCAATTTTCATTAGCTTCCTTTATGCCATTATTATCCGTAGATTTTTCTTTGTTCTTTATCTATTCAGACTATAGAAAGTAAAAATATAATCTTGTGAGCTCATTTGTTATAAAAGTCCATATGTTGTTGTCCATATCTTTAGCTTGGGTTTTGCAAAGTATGGTTTAGTTAATGCCAGTTTTTCTAGAAACATATTTTATACCATCCTATTACAGCCAAAAGCTATGTATAGAGGGAAAAAAAACCCATACATTTAAAAAGGGAGAGAGTTAGGAAGAAATATGTTGCAAATATTACAATCCCTTAGTCCTGTATATCATTCACATTTTCTTTTCTTTTATTTACAAATTCCCCTACCATCTCTATATTATCCTCCGTATTAACTTACTTCCCCTATTTCTATATATCAGGGTCCCCATCTGGCCTCTTAAGGAGAATGCTCAGCAGTGTTACAAAGTAGTGTCTTAGTAGCCTGAAGAATCAATTCACTTCTCAAAGGACCCATTTTCATCTCAGGAAGTAACATGGATTTCTGGAAGTTGTGTGGCTTAAAAATGAGCAAAATAAAAACTTTCTTTTTTATTAAACCATATTTTCTCCAATACTATAAATGAATATAATTAAAAGTGATAACTTTTGAGCCATGAAAATAACAGCAATCTATATTTTCCTGTAAACTTTGTTTAACCTTGTATTCAAGAAAACAACTTTTAAACAATGGTAGATCATAAGGTCTGTTATTTCCCTGTAGCTGTAGATTTGTGAACTTGAATATTGTCTCCTCTTAATAGGCACCTCTCCCAACATTCATATAGA